TTATAATACATTTAAGAAGGTTAAATTTTCTAAGTTGGTAAAAGGGTTCACATAAAAATTCGACAATCACATTAATAGAGATATAAAACATAAAACACAAGAGTTTTACAAATTGTTTTCAAAACAATATTACAGTGCCAAATACACATAAATATTTCATCCTAGAAATCCTCTGCCCCGATGTCACACTATCAGAGCATTCCCAGAATTTTAACTGTTGGCATCCTAGAAGCCACTCGTAGCTGGATCTTCTTCTCCTAAAATATCCACAGTTTATACGGTGAGAAAAGAAAATATCTATATGCAAAGTACATACAAACACATCACAATATAATCTCATAATAACTCATTATTTAATAAAATATTCATAAGCATTTATATATATATATATATATATATGTGTGTGTATCATAATAGTCACTTAAGTCTATATATTCATATTCCTTTAGTTTCTTCTTCTTCTTTCAACCGCAATATTACATGTTTCATTATGCAATATTTGTTATCGTATTGGAGTTTGTTGATTTTATACAAAAGGTTAACCTTCCATAACAAATGAATGGTGAAGAAATCATGAGCCTACTTTAAAAATAAATAAATAAAATTGTCTCACGTTCAAACTTGTAGATTTTCACTTTCTTTTACATGGTTTGATCAATGAAATATTAGAATGTTTTTCTTGTTTTGATTTGTTAGATATACATAAATAAATAAAAAATTGTCATGACCGGATAAAATTTTGTGCTAAAAATTGATTAAAAAAATTAATTTTTTATTCAATTTTTCTTAATTACTCCTTCCTCCTTCTCTTGTCAATGACTGGATATCTCATATACATTGTTATGGACTAAATATGTCTAGCGTGAAATTTGTAAGAGTGAATATTTACAATTAATCCAATAATGATTCAATAACAGGTGGTTCAATAACAGTGACAAATCCAAAAACCTTAGATAATAGGAGTAAGGTCCATTTATATATTTATAGTATTAAAAATATTACACATCACTTTTCAAAATATAAATATTCATCATAATTATCTTTTACAAGTTTTGATATTTATTACTATAACTAGCAGTGAAAATAAATTATGTCAAATTTGGTTATATTAAGTTTTAGTAGGCTTGAACCAAACCTTCTTTATAAATACATGATCTTAGTCTAATTTGTTTATCTGTCATAAACATTTTTTAAGTATTTGTTTAAAATTATAAGCCTATTTAAAAGTCTATTATGTAATAGTTTAATACTAAGAAAAATATAAAATAAATATGTTAAATTAAATCTTATAAAAAAGTTTAATTTATTTATGATATAAACATATTTTTAATATTTAATATAAAATTTAAGATGATAATTTATTTAAAAATACATTTTAAAATAAATTTTTTAAATAAACCATAAATATGACACTTTTACTGTCCAAAATTTTCTTTTATATCAACTTATACAATAAACAAAAAGGCACAAAAGGTACATATGTATATGTATGGACAAATTTCATTTTATCAAAATTTATTTTTTTAATATCATATTATTTCTTTTTATCTAAAAATATAAAAAGAAATAATATGTTTTAACAAATAAAAACTATTTTTATTACTAAAAAGTATTCTTTGACACATTAAATACATGAACATTTCTGTCAAGTTTATTTTATCAAAATGTAGCTTTTATTTGTTAAAACATATTATTTCTTTTTATATTTTTAGATAATAAAAATATATTATGTGTACTATATAAAATCGTAAAATGTTAGTGGAAGCAAGTGTCCCAATTATCTTTCATGTAGATTTGTCTTTACCTAATAAGTCCAATAACAGTTGCTAAAATAGACTCTAATACCATCTTAAGAAAGTAGTTTAAAGTCTAACTTAACCTTACAAAGTGACTTATATGATGAAGATTACTTACCACTTATATACACTATTATAATTTTATTCTCTTAGACGGTGTGAAATTTTTAACGACATAGTTCAATAATTTCACCCCATCCACCACTCTATCTCTTAGTTTAAGTAATACACAATAATTCACTCCTTGCTCTCCTCCTTACAAAATAGATTTAGTGAGAAATCTGAAATGAGTTATTGGTGAATTAAGAGTAAACTTTTAACTTAGTTGAACCGGTGCTAACTCATCTTATCAATTACTAAAATAATGAGATATATTAAATGTGTGCTTGATATTATGATGTTGTTGGTATTTATAGGAGTTATAGGTAGGTTGGATTTCTAACTTAAGATCCGTTGTCTTCTTAATTAAAAATAAATAAATAAATACTACGTAACAAGAACAATTTTACTATAAGCTATAAAATATATATATGTTGTAAACGTAAGTACCTTAAGCTATGTGAATTAGGATATTGACTATATCTATATATTTACGACAAGTTGCATTAGGCTAATATAGCCCAAAATATGAATTGAGCCGTGAATTTGATTTATAACAAAATATATATAAAGATATATACTAATATATACCTAATTTTGTGCAATAAGACACAAAATAATAGACAAGTAAATACTAAATGAGAAAAGGAGTTCTTTTTTTCCTTTCACAAATTGCATGTTTTGAAAATAACAAGATCAAAACATATGTAAATTAAAGTTCAGGGAGTTATTTAGAGATAGATGGACTTCCTCATTTTATAAATTAAGCATACGCTTGTATCAATAAATATTGTATGTGTATGTGCATGAAGTTTAAACTTTTCAATTTATACCAAATTAAACATTTAAGATTTTTTTTGGAAACAAAAATTTATATATAAAAAGTAACTAGAAATTTATAACGTAAAACATAAAGAAAGTTTTGTTACATGTGAATTTTTATTAAAAAATATAATTGCACTACAATGAAAAATAAATAAATTACGAGAAAAAATACACAATAAGTAGATATTAAAAATAAAATAAAGCAATAGTAAATACATAGATATCATACGAAATTAATTTTCATCATTATTATTTCCAAAACGTTTGTAAATATTAATAAGATCTGTTTGAAATCTGATAAGGAACGGTTACTTGAGGAAGTAACTCTCTCTCTTCTTCAAGTAACTCATGTTGCCACGTCAGAGTCCTCCAATGATAAGAAACCGGGACTTGAGTTGCTTCATGGGACAAACAACTTTCATTAAAATTGCTCTTACTTATTAACTTCTATAATAAATAAATAAATAAGTATGATATGTGATAAATTAATATTATAAAACGGTCACTAAATCATTTTTAAATTAATATCATAAATTATGGATGAATCGCTGTTAAACTTTTTATGTAAGGATTTTTTTTTACACTTTTAAGATAAAAAAAAATAGAAAAAAATATAAAATAAGTTAAAATTAATTTTTAACTTTGTATAAGTCAATTTGTAAATTCACTAGCTAATTTTAGTTTATACGATTTACATTGGATTTTTTTCCCTATTTTTCTTAAAATATTCCTAAAAATGTTTAATAAAAAATTTGTTATTTAGAAATTAATTAGAATTGTGGGCATGTGTTATCCCTAATAGTTAAATGGAAGATGATGATATTAATGGTTTTAATATTGACGTTAATTAGCGGTCCATACGTGGAAATAAAGATGAGGTCGGGGCAGAGTGATGGGTATGATGCAGTGTTTCTGAGTCCACACAAGTTTCTGGGTGGTCCTGACTCTCCTGGATTGCTCCTCATGAACAAGGCCCTCTATCGGTTGAGATCTTCGCCGCCATCAACTTGTGGAGGTGGAACCGTCGATTACGTCAATGGCTTCGACGAGAAGGTGAATCCACACTCATATTATAAACAACAATAAAGTCAAATTATAAATTTTGTCTTCCCACGTAATCAACCATAAAAGTCTTCCCACGTTATTTATTATTTTATTTCCTACATGGAATTTTTTTTTATTCCGGTCCTTATGAAAAATATTTATCAATCAATCCTTGCCCTTTTTCATTCAACGTTATAACAGTGTTAGAATTGATTGTTTTTCATACAAGAATCAAAATGAAAAAGAAATGTCAGCAATTCATAAATATATTTTTATATAAGACCTAAAATAAATAATATATTGTCATATGTGTAAGATTGCTAATTCTTAAATTTTGACTTGACTTTAATTCAATTCTAAAAAAATTGATATGCAAATTAATAGTTCAAATTTGAGGTTAGAGATATATATTCTATCTTACAAAATTAATATGTAAGTCTAAGATATTTGTAATTGGTTCACTAATGACCTAATATTAAGTTGTCTAAAAGGCTCAAAATAACTAATATGATAGATTCTAATATTATTTTAGAAAATATAAATTTTAAGTTTAAGTCAACTCTATAAATTTACTTATACCTAAGATGAGGTGAGGATTGTCACTCAATATTCATATACATTATTTTAATTATATTATTAGTTGATGTAAAATTTTTATACTAATTAATTTTAATTTGACTAAAACTAAAGTACACATAACAATCTATTCATATTTTAATAATTAAAACTTCTGTTAGTAAAAAGTTGTTGAATAAATTAGTTCATGCACATAGATAATAAAACAAAAGAGACAAGTATGTATTAAGATAAGTGACACTTATGTGAGAGATAGAGAGAAAAGATGAATGATAAAATATTATAAAAATTGGTTATGTATGAATATTTATTTCAATTTATTTGTTGGGTTAAGTTAGAGTTTTTTTTTCCGTAAAAAAGCTATTAATTGTGAACAATAATTCAGCTGATGAATATCTAATCCAAACTTTTTTTTAAAAAGTTATATCATTCATAGTTTCATACTAGTGTTTTCCACAATTAATATTATATTTTTTTTCTTTCTCTCTCTCTATTATATTAATCATTTAATTTCACACCTTTATTGTTAATATTTTTCTTTATTGTATAGTATGCAAATACAATTTCTTTCCTCAAAATGCTGTGAGAATATCAAGGCATTTGAAGATCATTGTCCCTACTCTTTTGTACATCAAAGCTTATTGTCAATTTTCAAATTTTGTGTGATCGTTATTTCAGGATACAGTGTACATGGAGAAAATAGAGGAAAGGGAAAACGGGGGCACGCCTCCTATAATCCAGACAGTGAGAGCAGCATTGGCATTTTGGGTGAAAGAATACATAGGCTACAAAGAGATTGAGAAACGTGAACAACATTACATTAACAAAGCACTCAAAAGACTCGAGTCCAACCCAAACATTGAAATTCTTGGTAACTTGAGCACTAAGCGACAAGCTATATTGTCATTTATCATATACTCTACCACAAATAGTTCTTCATCACATGGTTGGGGCATTAAATGGCTAAGAGAACGTAATTTATGGAGCAAAAGAGGTAAGCTACTTCATGGCCCTTTTGTTGCAACACTTCTAAGTGACCTCTTTGGCATCCAAGCTCGTGGTGGCTGTGCTTGTGCTGGACCTTATGGCCATCAATTGCTCAATATCAACAAATCTCAATCACTTGCTATTAGATCAACAATCCAAGAGGTATGTATATTCTTTTCATTTTTTTTCCCATAAATATACTATACACAATATTTTAAAATTAATTATTAAAAATTAATTTATAATTTCGAAACATAACTTCTACTAATCAAACATTATTTTAATATTAACTATCAACCTCAATCGGGGATAATTGCAAGAGAAAAGAACATGTTTGAACCAAGATATTGTTTATTTGAACAGGGTTATGTTGGAGTGAAACCTGGCTGGACTAGGGTTAGCTTTCCTTATTACATGGACTGCGAGGAATTTGAGTTCATTTTAACAGCAATAGAGTTTGTAGCAATCTATGGCCAACGCTTCCTTCCCTTGTATAGCTTCAATTTGAGAAACGGCAGCTGGAGAATGAAGACAGACCAGCTTGAGGCTCTGATGAAGAAAAATAACTGCAACTTTCAAATAACTGTAGAGGAAACAAACAGTGAATCGAAAGCACTTGGAGTTAAACAAACTAGTAAGTTAAGGAAATCATACTTAGATAAAGCAAAATATATTGCTAGTCTTCTCCCCAAGTTCCCTTCTGAAGGCATACTCCATGGAAATGTAAATCCCAGTATCCTCTATTTTAGAGTTTAATTATCTGCCAAATACCAAACATAAATTCTAAATCTATATATCTTGTTTGGATCGGCTTTCATTAACTTTTTTTTATTAGAAAAAATTACAATAATAATAAAATTTTATATATATTATTCAAATTTTTATCATTAAATTGATCTTAATAATTCTTTAGTTAATTTTTTTAATAAAATATCAAAATAAATTTGATATTTATTCATAATCTTTTAACTTTACATACCATTTGATTGGAGAGAGATGGAGGGAAGAAATTTTGATTTAAAAATTTGTTTGGTTAAAAATTCTTTTAAGAGGAGAGGGATTTTAAATATTTCAAGTAAATGTAAATATTTTTTTTTATAAATTTTTAAATGATTAATAAAGTTTTTCACATAATTTTTTTAAACTATATAACTTTACTAATAAACCAAATATGATTTATATAATAAATTTTATCACTAAATAATTGAAATTAGAATATTTTTTTAAAAAAAATATATGTAATTACAATCAAAACATGAAAAGAACATAAGGCTGCTTTCTTATTCCTTACAGCTGCCACGACTCTCAGAAGCCGCATGATTACCATCATTGTAGAATTAATGGTAGATATGTACTTATGTATGTGCTTGTAATAATTTAAAATGAAATTTTAATGATATAATAAAAGTTTAATAATTATATATTGTCTGTATAAAAAAAAAATACCGAATCAATTAGTCAAACATTATTATTTGTATATTTTTAAAATAATTATTATAAAAGTTAATAAATTTATTATTTATGATAAGATATAATAGTAAATCATCATTAAACATTATAAATAAACTAACATCTATTAATTTGTTAAAAAAAAATACAAATTTAATTAAATATTTTCCTAATATTATGATTATTAGTCGGTGCTCAAAATACTTTGTGTTTATGTGTAACAGTTACAAAAAAATTATATTTTTTATATTTATTTTATTTTATCCCTTATAAATATATTGTTAGAAAAAAATTGTTGTTTAATTGAGGACAAAAATGTAAAAAAAAAGAAACTATTAAAAAAGATATTTTACTTATTTATAGTTATAAATTATATATAATTTAGATTCTTTAACAAGAGTAATCAATTGTCAAATAAAAAATATTTTTTGCTAAATTATATTTTTAGTATCTTTATTTTTCATCAATTTGTAATTTTAATTTTTTTATTTTTAAAAATACAGAATTTTAGTTCTTTCATTATCAAGTTTTAATATTACTTGTACTCATAATATTTAGTAATATGATATTTATAAATGAAAAAAAAAATATATATATATATAAAGA